ACGAACAAACGAACATGTTCGTAGATTCTACGAACGAACGAACGAACGAACGAACATGTTCGTAAATTCTACGAACGAACGAACGAACAAACGAACATGTTCGCATACGAACGAACGAACGAGCGCTCGTTGACCGCTCTGGTATTGACATTGTTTCTATTTCGAGAGGATCTTAATCACACGTATCCATAAAGGCAGATGAATAGTTTCATCCCATGGATGGGCTTTGACCGTGTATCAACGTATACAGAGCACATTGTCAACGAGAGTGCAAATTTCGTGCATTGCTTGGAGAATTCTTTGATCTTCATGGTTCGGTATTTCAATTACAATTACATGTAGTAGCAGTATATTGAACGGTAGTCAATAATGTCCAGAAATTTGCATAGCTTTTCGTTTGGTGAAAAGCTATGTGAAGCATTGGAGATTCTTTTCACACCTGGGGGAAATTCCTATCGTCCACCTGTCGGTACGTTGGATATAAAATAATATTCGAATCGAATATATTCGATGCATATATGCATACTTGCATATATAATCATTGCAAATGCAAATGAATGTGCCAAAATGCATTCAAATAGTTACAAACTTGGCTCAATCGCTCACATCGCTGACGATAACATCATTCCATCATTTCATCCTCCGACAATGCCTGAAATTGCAACACATTTCCAAAATTGATGACACAATAAACATCGTTTTCTCCAGCAAATATCGTTTTTTAGTAAGAAAAAACAAATATTCCAAGACATATTCGTGATGACATTGCTGCTTGAGTGTAAATTGTGTGTTTTTCAAATGTGTTCAGAAAAGATAAAACCATTTCGATAAATGGAAGAAAAAACGTTGAAAAAAATGTGTCTACCTCATTTTAAAAATATATTTGCATCATTCATGAAGCCCAAAAATGCATTATGGTTAATGTAGTGGTGCTGACGTATTTTGAAATGAACGAAACCGTGCTGTATCATTTGATGTTCTCCACGGGAGTAATTACATCTTACACTCAGACATGTTAATTTAAGCAAAATTCTTGCTCCGGCCGATCTTTAATTCATAAGAGAATGTGCGTGTGCACAAAAAATGTGAGAATGAATGGAATGCCGAGTGTTAAAATGCGTGTAAACACGGTTCAGATCAAACCCGAAAAAATATTATCAATTCGGGAGCTATTGCGATACGTATATACGTGAAATGAAGTTTTGTCCAAATTCGCACATTGATTTGCATTCGGGTATACGTTTTTATTTACACGAACCATATAGAAACCACACGAATAAAACCGATTTAAATTGGGTTTTGGCGAACGCCGATTTCTAGATACGGTATTGGTTTGCATAAATAACAAGCACAGTTACATATCGGATAATTTGACATGAATATGGGCATAGCAAATTTGAAAATCGAAAAAAGACGCACAGCTTGTGCTGTTGGATTCTAAAATCAACTATTCTTCGTAAGTATTTTGTAAGAGTCTGTTGCGCAGAGTTGTGATTTACTTTGGACCGAATTTCCGCTTTCTCAAGCGTTGCCAAATTATGTGAGAATTACGGCTGGTAAGTGGTTTTTTTCTTCAGCAAAGTACCGTCCCAGTAAACACCATCAGTAAAATACAATGAACCGTTTTGTTGCACATTTGTCATTCGTTCCACTTTAAAAATTTGTGCGTACTAATGTTTTGGCAATGAATTGACCATTTTTTATGTTGATTCTTCGAACGAAGCAACAATCGCCATTCCCAGCGACTAAACACCATTTATGGAGGCCGCTCGCTTGTTTTTATTTCGCACCAAATTCCATTTTCACCAAGCATTTAAACACACATTCACTCTGCACACACACACAAATTGGTCAACAAACGACCATTTTGTACCTTTTGTGTTCTGTACAAAGGTTCCACACGTAAAATGCTTGTCTTGCTTGTAGAAAATAAACAATTGAAATAAATTCAAAACGAAATTAAATTCGTATCTCCACTATAAATTCTTCCGAATGGCTGGCTATTATTCCATCGTCAGCATATTTTCTCTAGCATTCTTTTGATGAAATTGGATTAATTCCGTCGACTCAAATACTGATCAATCATTCGTACAAAGTTAAAGAATTTCAATGAATCTCATTACGCTTAACAAACATTCTCTGTTGATGCGGTTTATCATTGCGCGATGGAGATGGTTTTGGAACTAAGCAACTTTCGGATGGACGGTAACAACACAGTCAGACCGTGGAGTGTGTATGTGTTTGTCTTCGTGTGTGTGCTTTTTCTCATCGAGCGCGCACTTACAATATAAATAATCTGCGAAATTGAATACAATGAGAAAAATTGTTTTTGCTGCGATGCTGAAAGGCGCAAACATATTCGCAAAAAGATGTGTGGCACGTTCCGTTCCGCATAAGTCTATAATTTTGTTGTTGTTGTTAGCACAAACAATAAA